ATGATTCAACCACCTGACGGGAAAAGCTGTTTGTTAGAAGTTACTTCACTGGAAACAAATATTAACAGCAATTATTTGCTTCTCACTTGTAAATATGCCACAGAGATAATATCTGTATGATATTACAAAGTATTAATGCATAATTTTATTCAAGAAAAATCTGAAAGAAAACGGCGCTTATTCCACTCTGAAGTCAGAGCTGCCCTGTAGTGCAGAATGGTCACAAAAAACACATTTCTACTGATATACCATAATGTGTAGATGCCAAAGAAACTTTCATAAATTGTGAACTGTGTAATAATAAATATATTAATATTGAGCTGACATTTTTCAAAGAACATAATTAAACTGATATAATGTGTTTGAGACAGAAGAACTATTATGGCATATGAATCATCCTACAATGTAGAGCACTGGTGTTAAAAGGCAGAGAACAGCTTCTATCCTACTGAGATTTACTGTGATAATAAGGCTTGGGTTATTAGATTTTTTAAATGATGTTTTATCTTTCATGATTTTAATTGTGGATTTTTAGGAGGTTTTTCTTTTGTGTTTGAAATGGATGCAACTATTCATCACATTCATATTCCTGGTTTGAAATGACAGTCATCTATGAGGAGCATTAGCCTGCCATAGGAGAATGCAATGGCAACCCACTCCAGTGTTCTTGCCTGGAGAATCCCAGGGACGGGGGAGCCTGGTGGGCTGCCGTCTGTGGGGCCGCACAGTCGGACACGACTGAAGCGCCTTAGCAGCAGCAGCCTGCCACAAAGCTCAGCACTAAGGGCTACAAAATGTAACATTTTACACAACCATTCTACTTTAAACTCATCATGAAACAGGTACTCTGTAGGCTTTTTCATCATCCTCCATCTTAAGAGGGTGGAGGAAGTCTGGAAAGCAGAGTGAAACCAAACCAGAACCAATGCTTGCTTTAGCTACATAATGTATGTAATAGGTACTGTTGGTTCTTTACCATTTTCCCCACAGGAAGCATGAGACCAAGAACAACTTATGACTATTTCTTCACCTATTTTTTTTTTTTAGCGCAAAACCAGGAAGCTATAATATCTATGTATGTTTCAACATTTTCATATATTACTTCCTCTAAGCCAGGAAATTGCAAGCTTTGTCTTTATCCTACACCTTAAAGCACTATGAATAGAATTTATCTCCCCAGCATACACTTGATTCTTAATCCCATGAGTCATATACAATAACATGAAATAATAATGAAAAAGAAAAAAAAAAAAAAAACCTACCAGCCCTAGAATACAGTCTGCTCAGAACTAAGGACTCAGAGGTATTCTGGCACATGTGCAAAGGTAAGACACAACTGCTACTTGTATGCATACTAGTTCTTTACTAAGACGTGAGCATGTGCATAGAAATTCTCTACCAAACTGTTTTTCTCATTATTTTCTTTGTGCACACAGTTTTTACATTACAAAAATGCTCTGTTGTTGTACAGTTAATTACTATTTTTATTTTAAGAGCTTCATTTTACTGTGCAAGCCAAGGATTTCAGCATTTCTGCAAATCAGATAACAGTATTTTGCCAAAAACTATTTCAAAATATATCCTTTCCAAAGAAGAACAAGATATTGGTTGTTTTAAATAAACAAATGTCTAGCAATCTGAGTAAATGGTTCAGCATTTTGGATGGCCTCTTAACTTTGTGAGGATATCCCAAAAACTGGATTAAAAAGGACTCGAATTGGGCAAATCCAGTTTTTTTATGTAAAATAGTTTTTCTTTATAAACAAAGAATCAAGTTTGGTGGTGGTAATGGTGACAGAAAATGGTAAAGGAGATTTAAATTATTTCTGACCTCACTGTTTAAGCTTCATAAGCCATCAGCAGATGAGAAAAAAAAACACAAATCTGTTTAATTCAACATTTTATATTCAGAGTTTTCGAGCATATTATTTGAAAACATGTCTGTTTTCTGCAGCCTGTATGGCTTCTGAAAGGCTGCCACTGGGGAGTAGACATATCTGCCAAGATTTCCTTCTCAAGAATGTGTCTATGAATGTTAGAACATCTTCTGTTATGCCAAGCTCATTAGCTTTCAAGGATTCAAAGAAGAAAAAAATCTTTATGATGTAGCAGAGGGTGTGAGAGAATTGATCATTTAAGCACTAACATTTATTTGCCATATAAATGTTCTTAGACATTTATTTAGAGTTGTAATGGCACCCTGCATCCAGTGGATTAAACATCCAGCATATGACGCACGTGCCAGATTTAGAGAACCCAACACTGTGAGAGGGCTTCCTTGGCAGCTCAGCTGGTAAAGAATCCACCTGCAATGCAGGAGACCCTGGTTAGATTCCTGGGTCAGGAAGATCCCCTGGGGGAGGGCATGGCAACCTATTTCAGTATTCTTGACTGGAGAATGAGGCAAGAAAGTCCATGTCCAGGCTCATGGACAGACGAGCCTGGCAGGGTACAGTCCGTGGGGTCGCAGAGAGTCGGATGTGACTTAGCAACTAAGCACAGCACAAAGTCTGAAGTTAGATGTACACAGAATCCTATCCCAGGCGTGAGGGTCTGCAAAGTGAGTTTACTGAATCTGTTTCCTTGTCTGTAAAATGAGGATAATAGAAATTCCTTTTCATAGTTATTATAAAGAATAAGCATAAGAAACATAACGCCCAAAGAAGGAAGAGATGTCGTAATGTCCATTATTACATACAGTGATAACTCTACGTCTCTTCTTGAGGAGTGAAAGTCAGTCGTGTCCGACTCTTTTGCGACCCCATGGACTGTAGCCCACCAGGCTCATCCATGGAATTCTCCAGGCAAGAACACTGGAGTGGGTTGCCATTTCCTTCTCCAGGGGATCTTCCCGACCCAGAGATCAAACCTGGGTCTCGCACACTGCGGGCAGACTCTACTGACTGAGCCAGCAGGGAAGCCACCTCTTCAGGAGGAGGGAGGGAGTGTAGGCAGGCTTACCACCTGGGTCTACTTCAGACACATGGTTACATCCTAGTAGACTTAGTTTTTCAGTAGACTGAAACAGTGACAAATTTGGTATAATAATGCTGAAACACTGAAGGAATTTTAACTTTCCAACACTTTGAAAGAACTGGTATTTTTTTTTTCACCAAGACAGTGGGTGGCCTAACTGAATGAAGCAACCTGAAAATCAGACAGAGCAATGTCCAAAACACTTTCAAACTTAATGACTGTGGTGACTGAGGTCACCCACTGGATCCAATTACAGTAACTGGAGTATAACTAATAAATCTCTCTAACTCAGTTATCAAAAAGCAAGAAAATAAATCCATGGCTAATTCATTTCATGTATGACAAAAACCACTGCAATGATGTAAAGTAATTAGCCTCCAACTAATAAAAATAAATTAAAAAAAAAAAGAAACTTTCCTTGAAAAATCTTCCTTATGCTAAAAAAATCCACACTTCAAAATCTTATTTCTCTAACACAAAGCCATAGAGGATCTGCTTGAATTTCAAGACACCAGCTATTATTGCACATGATGGGTGCTTTAAGGTTAGTTGCCTGGGATGCTCACTTATCAGTCTGTCCTATTGTATCTAACTCAGTAATAAACTGGAGAAGGCAATGGCATCCCACTCCAGTACTCTTGCCTGAAAAATCCCATGGACGGAGGAGCCTGGTAAGCTGCAGTCCATGGGGTCGCTAAGAGTCGGACACAACTGAGCGACTTCACTTTCATGCACTGGAGAAGGAAATGACAACCCACTCCAGTGTTCTTGCCTCGAGAATCCCAGGGACAGGGGAGCCTGGTGGGCTGCCATCTATGGGGCTGCACAGAGTCCGACACGACTGAAGCGACTCAGCAGCAGCAGTCATAAACACCACTGTTTGCTGAAAAATGGAAGGAGGAAGGGCTACTACATGAAGGTAAAACCAACTGACACTTAGTTGTAAATATATATATATATATGTATACATATATATTAAATAGCTTCATTTTTTATATTGTTTATAAATGTTTTATACATCTTTTGTTACTTTTAAGTATCATTTAAGTACCATTATTTTTCTTCTTCCTTTTGGGAAAGAGATTTTATTTTTAATCATCTAAATTGTTTACTGTGTAAAAATCCTAATGATTATTGGAGACTGACCTTGAATTCAGAACACTGTTCAACTCTAGTATTATTTTTTCTTTGTAAATTGTGATAAAATTTTCATGTAGACAGTCATATAGGCAAATCATAAATTAAGTAAATAGTAACATCTCTTTCTTTACGCTTTTTTATTCCCTTCTCAATTCTTATGCTTTGACCAAGACCACAAGTAAAATGATGAAGAGCAGGTGACTGTAGGCATCATTACTAAGATACTTGCTAGAGATTTTAAGATACTGTTAACCTAAAAAACATAAATGATGGCACACCCTCTAGGAAGCCTGTCATGACTTTTCGTTACTCAAGATTAGGTGTCCTTTACATAGTATGTAATCCTCTAATCCTGTGTGCTTACTTCCATCACAGCATGCAGAATATTACACGATTTATCTCTTGATTAGTATCCCTGTGATGAATTACGATCAGGTGAGGTCTATGTCTTACCTTTATATCTCCGGTACCTAATAAATATCAGGCACATAGTAGAGACAAAAGAAAAGAGTTGCTGGAAAAAAAATAGCTGAATGAGTACATTTCCAAGTGCTTCAGACTCTAAGAGTCTGTAAGTATTTTTAGTGTAATTAGTAAGAATACACTAATCCTTACTGTATTTCTAAATGTATTCACCATACATTTATCTAGCACTCATAATATGCCAAGTACACATGGAAAGACATTACATTTTAGTTGTGAAAACAGAAGGAAGATAGCACAATCTACATTAACAGTGAACTTAAGTTATATCACCTAAGTCCTAAAAGTTAATTCTTCTCATTCAGACTTGATTTTCATTACAGTTATAATCTGGATCACTTTGTTAATATTATACATCTTGGACCATTACCCAAAGAAATAGGGTAAATGTATTAACATACCAGAGACACCATGGCCCAACCAGTCTTGTTATAGATGAACTCCAAGTTGTTCCTTCTTAAATAGAGCAAACCACCCACAAGTGACACCAACAAGGCCAAAGCAATGGTGCCAGAATAGTTGGGTGGCCTGAAGACACGAATCTGCAACAATAAAAATGTTTTAAAGTTAAAAATATTAATTTTTTTCTTCTGATATTCTCGTCCTTCTGATCTTTAATACATGTAATTCGGAAAGGTACCACCTTACTTTTCATACCAGGCACTAACATTCCTTGTGTGTTCTTTATGAGTCAAAAACATATGCCTTAAAACATCATGGCTGTGTAACAAAACGTGCTCTTCTGGTGCGTTTAGGTGAATACAGTTAAATATATGCAAAACCTACTTCCATTCAACCCAGAGCTGTTCCGGTTCATGATGATGAACCAGATGATCATGATGATCCCGAACATGGGATCATCTGGTAAAAAGGAGAGGTAAGATGAGGGACTACTACTTGTATTATTTGGAATTTTTTTAAACATTTTGTTTTAAACAACTTTATTGAGCTTTAATCCATATACCATACAATCCACCCACTGAAAGTGTACATTCCAGTGATTTTTTTTAAGCATATTCAGATAGGTGCAGCCATCACCACAGTCAGTATTAGAACATTTGAATCATTTCAAAAGGAAATCCCATTCTCTTCTGGCGTCCACTCCCTATTCCTCTCACCCTCCAGTCTTAAGCAACCACTAATAATCAATCTACTGTCTGTCTCCACACATTTATTCTGCAATTTCATGTAACGTGTAGTCTTTTGTAACTGGTTTCTTTCACTCAGTATGACCTTCTCAAGGCTCATCCTTGTAAAATGTGCCGCTGCTTCATTCCTTTTCATGGCTGAGTATTTCCTTGTGTAGATATCACACTTTGCTTATCCATTAGTCAATTAATCAGCTGGATATTTGGGTTGTTTGCACCTTATGGCTCTTATGAATAATGCTGCTGTAAACATTTTGCACAAGTTCTTGTGGAGTGTATGTTTTCTTTTCTCTTAGATATGTATACCAAGGAGTAGAATTGCTGGGTCACACAGAAACTCTATGCTTAATGGCTTGAAGAACTGTCAAATTGTTTACCAAAGTGGCTTCACTATTTTCTACTCCCATAAATGGTGTATGAGGATTCCTAGTTCCCCAACTTACTTTACAAGGTGAGATACTTTACAGAGACAGAGAAACCAGCATGAAGGGGCTCCCACTAGTCATACAGAGAACAATTTTGGTACTAAAATATTTAAGCATAGTACTAACAATCTCTGGAGGGAAAAAAAATATAAGATTGTGTATCAATGGATGAATGAAATACAAAGAAGGGAGGACTCCTGTTTACAGTAAAATGCCAAGGATCAATCTGAAATATGGACAAAGTGCTAGAACTGGAACATCATCTTTGCAACCATCATGATGAAATCTGGATCAGGTAAGAGTCATCAATGGATGCTAAATACTGACAAAATTTTGATGAGGAGTAGGATACCTGTGTGATCCTAAATGCCTCCACATAGGGAGCTTACTATTTAGGAAGGAGAAGGTAGGCCAACTGACAAAACTAAAATATGTACAGAAGCTCAAACAGAAGTAGTGTATTAATGTGAGTAACTGTATGGTCCTATATTTCTTAGGAAAGACAATTCACCTTAAAATGATTCAGAAAAATATGTGTGTGGGTATGTAAGTATGTGTGTAAAGACAGGGTGAGGGATGATGGGTAAGAGAGTAAGAATGCCAAAGCAAAAGCCATAAAAAGTTGAATCCTGATATATGGTATACATTGAGACTGGACTATTTTCATTTGTGGAACTACTTAAAAGTTTGAAATTATTTCAAAATATGTATTTTTTTTTTTTACACAAATGTGGATCTGTCAACAACATGTAAGTGTGATAAACAGGTTAGAATCATTTCTGATTAAAACTGAGTATTTCTTATGAAGAACTAATAGTACTTTCCAATGTTACATTTAATATTTTGTACCAATAAATGATACATTGTAACGCTGAATATCTGCCTAAATATTTTCACCAAAAAAGATAAGAAGTAGTCACCAAAATATCATTAACACCTATATTGTTTTATGTACAATGACAGTAGTATGAAAGACATCTGTCTCAAATGAGAAATACACTTACACCAAATTAATATCTCTTTACTATATCTAAGGGAAATGGAATTTTAAAATAGCTGGTTATAATTGCTCACTGTAGAAAATTCTAGTGACATTAAGGGACAAAATAGCCATAGCCCTCCACACAGACATTAACTACCATCAACATTTTACATATCTCAGTAATATTTTGCTTTTCTAAATCTACTATAAATTCTGTTTTTCTACCCTACTTTTTCACTTGTTATCCTTTGAGCTTCTTTCTATGTCAAGTATTGTTGCAAACCACTGTTTGTCCACACGGTGCACATTTAATTCATTTCTTATTTTTAGATATCTGATTTCTGAGTGATTTTCTTCTATTAAAAATGTGTAATTTTTTTCCCATAGTTAATGGTTGGGGGAGAAGGAAAGAAAGAATTATACTGTTAGAATTTATAGTCCTGAGAACAGCATATGTCATTTTCTCATATGGCTCATGAAAAGTGAGTCTTATCCCACTGTTATTTGCCCAAAAGATAGATAAAAATTATACACCTGGATTTTTAATTAGAGTGTCTTTGATTACTAAGACCACTGAGCAATATTCAGTACATTTTTTAGCCTCTGAAATTACTTTGTGCCTAATATGTATTCTTTAATGGTTCATTGATATTTTAAGAACCATTATTCCAAAAGCCATTTAAATTCATCCAACTCAAAGTTCAGCTTACAGCTATCAGATGCAGTTTTCCTAAAGCAGGATAAATGAAAAAAATCCTGTGGCCTTATTATAATGTTATACCAAACCAAGCTAATTAGCCTATTATTAAAACTATGGGGAATAAAAACGTACATGAACATCCGTTCTGTCAGCAATCCACTTTGCTAATTGTTCAGCTGCAAATCCAATTCTTTGAAGGTCAAAAGTATCAGCTCTCTTGGGTCTGCCTTTTGGAGGAAAATGCATGAACGTAGGAGCGGAGTTAATGTTGAGCTGTAAAACATGAGATAAAAAGACTAAATCTAATATCCCGGCTTTTTTTCCTGCATGAATTTTGGAAAGACAGCATTATTACAAAAAATCCAAGTGGCTTTCCAGAGCTTAACTACTGTTTTTATTCATCTTGATATACTGCTGAATATAAAAGAACTTATGAATTAGGTCAAGTTTGCTGAACCTTCACATACATCATTCATACTCTCAGCTGCATCATCTATTTCATTGGTCATTTCCTTCTTTATTTTCTAGAATTCTACAACTAAAGAATGAAATGATTCAAAGTGCAAAACAGAAATACTGTAATTTGTGGGTATATGGATGATTTTCCCTTAAGCAGTTGTTAAAGAAAAAGGCTGGCATTTGATGAAAGATGTAAATATATTATGTAATTAACTTCAAGTATATTGACTTCTCTATCAATTTTTAAAATGTTTTCTGTTCAACTCCTCTGTTATTTCAACTGTCTCAAAATGGTTACATCTCATTAATTATTTTCTAAAGGCAAGCTTCATCTGAAAAGTATACTGAATGCACACTACCTTAGTATACCTAGTACAAATGGTGTTTATTAACAATAATCTAAAAACAAACATGAGGTTAATTTGAATTGGGGAATAAACTGCAAAGCATGGATAGACATTAAATTCTTGCTGCCCAAGAATTATGAAAAATGCTTGAATTGAAAGGCAAGGGGCTTTTTGGCCCTGGCTTGTAATATATAGTTCAACATTCCCCAACAATGAGAATAAAGAAATAAGTTCAAGTAACAACAAACATTAGATCAAGGTTCAAGGTACAGATACAGCAGTACCAGCTGGGGAGTACATGTTATGGACATTTACAATTTTTACTAAATTGAACAAAACACAGTCACCAATTCCTTTCTTCCACTCCACACTTTGTTCGTGCATGTTTTCCTGATAGATGCACACGAGACAATTATAGCCAACATGACTGCTAGTGCAGATCTCCCTCTAACACATCACTGACTTGCTGGTCTGTTGTCAGACACTTAGCCTCAGTCATTACACAGGAGTCACATACAATTTACTTTCTGAACAAGTCCCTAACAAGCCCAGGGCTGTCAAATTTCTACATGAAATCATTTAATGTTATATGCCCCCCTTAAATGATGTCACAAGGATGAGACGCTAATCCAAAGGACTCATGTCCAACTTCTTATAAAGATACCAGTCCTATTGAAATTTGTCAAGATTATATCATCATCACTGCTGACATTGAGTCCTTATATTCCAGGGACACTTCTAAGCAGTTCATGTGTTTTCTTTCATTTAGCTTCACAACAATCCAAAGAGAAATATATCATTTTTATCTGTTTCATACATGAAGACATTAAGGTATAGAGAGGTTACGTCCCTTGTCCAAGAATACAAAGTTAGTATATGTAGATGATAATTTGAGCTCAACTGTCTGGCTCTCTGATCCCTGCTGTTAACCTGCAGTGATTAATTTTTTGTGTTTATCAGTACCTGATCATGCCTTTCAAATGTACAACTCCTAGCAGTACCCAGCATGGATTAGTTTGGGTATCCTTGTCTCTTATTTTTCTCATACTGTCTGACCCAGTTCTTTACCAGGTCATGGAAAAGCATTTAGACTCAAGCTAATTTTAAGTGGACCATTAGTGAATATTTTTGCTTGCTTTGCTTGCTTTCAGACTGATTAATTCATTCTTCTTTGCTGATTTCTAGCTTCATCCTTATGACATCATTTAACCTTAACTACCCCCCTTAAAGGGCTTCCCTTGTGGTTCTGCTAGTAAAGAATCCGCCTTCAATGCAGGAAACCTGGGTTTGATCCCTGGGTTGGGAAAATTCCCTGGAGGAGGGAATGGCTACCCACACCAGTATTCTGGCCTGGAGAATTCCATGGACTGTATGGTCCATTGGGTCGCAAAGAGTCAGACATGACAGTGACTTTCACTCACACTCACCCCCCTTAAAGGCCTTTTATCCCCCTAAAACAGCTTGAAGGCTAAGTAAAACTTTGCTGTTGATATTTAGTTGCTAAGCCGTACCCAACTCTTTTGCAACCCTGCAGATTGTAGCCCACCAGGCCCCTCTGTCCATGGGATTCTCCAGGTAAAAATGGTGGAGTGAGCTGCCATTCATCCTCCAGTGGATCTTCCTGACCTAGGGACTGAACCTTTGTCTCCTGCAATGCTGGCAGATTCTTTACCATCGAGCTACCAGGGGAGCCCCATGTAAAACTTACCTTGAATCTTATATAAAATTTCACAAATTTATGCAAAATACCACCCAAAGCACATACAATTAAATATCAAAATAAAGTTAATGTATGTAAACTGCCCCTGTATGATGGAAAAAGAAAAAACATATTTCCTCTATGATGGAAAAGCTAAAATGTGTTTATTCACTAATGGAAAAAACTGTACTGATAAACATAATAACTGTAATTATTTTAATCATATCACAGAATTTAGTAATTATTCATTGGAGTCACTGAACTGTGTTTTTATCTGGCACACAAAGATGTACCATAACCAACTCCAATAAATATGCTATTAAAACAAAATATATTTCTCTTACCTGTTGAAAAATGTCTGTTCCCTCATCATAGTCCACTTTACTGAAGAAGAGTTTGTTACAAAAGGCAGATGAATAGCGCCAGGAGTTAGCCAGTATTTGATATTCTTCATTAGCTAGTCTGATAAGGATAATGGGACAGAGTGGAAACATATCAGTACTCAAAGATTAACAAAGCTATTAATAAAACACGAATTCTAGGGCAAGTTACCCTGGCTTTAGTAAGGAATGCAAGCTAAGAGTAGATTTTATATTTTAAATGGATGTGAAAAAAAAAAAGAATATTCCCTGACACATAAAAATTATCTAAAATTCACATTTTTATCATTCATGAATAAAGGTTTCCTGCAACACAGTCACACTGATTCATTTACTTATTGCGGCAGCTGCTATTAAGCTACATAAGGGCAGAGTTGAGGAGTTAGAGTAGAACGTGTGAGGGCAAAAAGCTCATCCTGGCCCTTTGTATAAGAAGCACGACAACTCTTATTCTAGGGGATAAAATCATTTTGTGTCACTTCCTATATATATAACTTAAATCTTCTGATGATTTTTAGTAAAAAGCACAGAGCAATTTTTAAGAATTTTGCAATTCACTTTAACAGAGAAATAAAAATCATGGATATGTTTTAAAACTGTAAATATCAGTTATACTCCACCTTTAATGTATTCCATCTATCTAAAAATGCATTTACACTTGCACCTAAAAAGCAAAGATTTGAGTAGCAACCAAATGCCTCAAACAAGCCCTCCTCTAAGAGCATATTTACTCTTATTTTGAATTCATTTCTACTGGACATTTTGTTGATACAACAGATACGGAAGCTCTGTTTTTTTGATGTAGGCATGGAAGAGAAATAAGGAAAGGCTGGTTGCAAAAGGATGTAGGCACAGTCATGGAAAATGAACCAACAGTGATTACTAAAACTTAAAAAAAGGAGAGGGAACTTCTTCCATGTAGTTGACTCTTCACAGGCGATATGGTGAGTCCCTCTCCCAAAGAAATATAGACAGAAAAAGGTCTAATCCTACAATCACAAAGAAACTTGGAGAGGAGTCAGCAGCAGATAAGAGATTTCAAGGACCATCTGGAAAATGTAAGGCTAGTGGGAAAGTTTTGATGGACAAAATTACAATCTCCAAGAAGACGGCAGTGCAGAAGAACCTAGGACTGGATGAGAAACGCAAAGCTGCTAGGTTGGAGGTTTCATCTTGCTAACAAGCCAGCCTGTTACTGTCTCGGGGTGCTGGCAGAAGCCACAAGACTTGGGGTCAGAGACCTAAAGGACTTTATTCTTCATGTTTGTATGCACCAGTTCCCTGTGCCCCCAAGTTCACGGGATGACACAAAAGGCCCTTCCTGGATGCCCACACACGCAGCTGACTGGGTTACAGGACTGCACTACCAAGTTGGGGGACTTTCTATTTTTCTAGTACATGACGACGAACTCTGTGCTTTGGGGAAACAGAACGCCACTCCTTAAGGCTTGTCACTGCACACACAATCCTTTGCCTTCTTGGCATGCCCCGCAAGAACAGGCAGGATGATCAGAGGCCATGGTTGACTGCTTTTCCCAACAGTAGTCATAAAAAAATAACAATGCCATATAAAAAGGAGCAGATAAAGTGAGAGAGCACTCTAAAGAGGAAATATGATTTCTCAAATTAAATACGGACAGAGTTAAATAAAATTCACAGAACAAAAAGGACATAGGTAGACTATACTGGGGGGAGGAAGGAGAAAGGGGCCTAGATATTTAATCCAATAAATCCAACTTTAAACAGAAAGAGCTCCAGAAAGAGAAGAGACAAAGGAAGTATTTCTGGAAACATAATACAATTAAATGGACCAAGTATTCAAATTAAATTACTTCCCAGGGTCTGAATAAGCGGAATAAGAAAAGACCAACATGTTGTGATACTTTACAATGCTATGGATAAAACGAAGGTCCTAAAAACTTTCAGAGGAAAAAAGTATTTAACAAGGGCCAACAGTGAGATGTGGACTGGACTGGTTATTAGCAGCACTCGGCGCCTTCAGAACATGCCTTCAGAGTTTTGAGGGTGTGTTATTTTCCATCTAAAATTGTACATCAAGCCAAACAACTAATGAACTTTGAAATAAACATGTTTGAAGAAATGTAAATAATGTGAAATTACCTTAAGATATAATTAGTAGAAAGGTACTAGGAATGGAAAAAAAAAATGAGAAAACCTGAGAATAGAATAGAGGAACTGTAAGAAAAAAAAAAAGGGATGAATAGGCAGGATATGGTGCAAGAGGAAAAGCAGAAGATGTGTAAGAAAGCTGTGATTCAACTACAAAGCTGTGAAATACAAATCAGAACGGGAATTTAACTGGACCTCAAGATAAAGAGGAGAATGGATTCTAAGCAACCATTATACTTAGAAAAACTTGGAAGATATCAAAGACTGTAGGGAGACATATTTGGTCCCACAACAGTAAGAATGATGACAACAAAATGAATATAAAAGGCAAGGTCTAAGTAAGAAGAAAATTTAAATGTATCATTATCTAGATTAATAGGTGATGGGAAAAATTAATTATTTTGAACATTTTCTTTTACATAGAAGTAGAGTTGTAAGCAACAGCACTACACTGTAGAAAAGGAACCATACTAAAAACCTACTATTTTGCAACTGATGTTATTTATGTGGAAACAATAAGTCAACCTACAGACAGACATAATAATGATGGTCTATCAACAACAACAATGCTATCAGTGATGACAATATAGAAATAGAGGTAACAGGATTTGGTGGGTAAGAGGGGAGGAGAGGTTGTACTTGCTAACCTTCAACTTATGGAATCAAGAGATATCACTTATAGTTATGAATAAGTAATAGAAAGGTACTGTTATAAATAATAAAAGGAAATAACAATAAAAGAAAAAAGCTATAAAAATGATAAGAGGTGAGATGAGTTAAATCCTCAGTTGTTACAGTCAGAAATATAAAGATTACGTGTACTGTATAAAATATACAAAAGTAACCTTTAGAGATTTTAAAAAAAAACACACAAAGGAATAACAGATTGCCTATAGCTAACTGTGCAAACAGGTGAATGCAAGGGCTAGAAGAGATAGTCTAGGTCCTTTTTTATTAACAAGGAGCACGTAATATTGCTATGATTAAAATACGTCTATTTAAGAGAGCTAAAAACAAACAAAGCTTTGATCTTCGGTCATTCAGCATAAAGGCCCATTTGAGATCATTTAGCATAAAGACCTTAAGGGCAAGTTTTATGGTAAAACAGTGCAAAAAACCTACCACTGCAAACATCAGCCTGAAACTGCATTATGCTCAGTAGGCAGAAAGCTGTATTACATATATTTTGAATCTGTTCAATGAAATAGAAGCTTGTAAAGCTTTGGTGCTTAAATAACATTTAACATGAGCACCTAACAGCAAAAAGTGAGCTCATCTTCAAGGTTCCAAGGTTCCAAGGTCTGCTTTCATGGAGCTGATGTTTTACTGAGGAGACATATAAACAACCAACCAAATGAGAGAAAATCATTCAAAGCTAAAATATACACTGAGAAAAATTACACAGAATTGTATTACAGAAAACAATGGAAGATGTACTTAGATGACACAGTCATAAAAGCCTTTTCAGATGAAGGGACATTAATGCTCAAATTCCAAGGAAGAGAAAAATCCATCGCTGCAAAGAGCTCAAGAAAGAACATCTCAGGGAGCAGGAGCAGCAGGCATGAAAGCCTAGAGAAAGAAAGAATTTAACATGCTGATGAACTGAAGCTGTGATATAAATGAGAACATGCTCTCTGTTTAAACACTGCCTCACGGCTCCTCTTCCAATCCTAAATGAAAACAGTCAGGACCAATATGAGCTCTACAATCTGATATGATTTTTGTCACATGGGATATAATATCGGGGGCTTCCCTGGAGACTAAGCAGTAAAGAAGCCCCCTACCAATGCAGAAGATGAGGGTTAGATCCCTGAGTTGGGAAGATCCCCTGGAGAAGGAAATGGCAATTCACTCCAGTATTCTAGCCTAGAGAATCCCACGGACAGAGGAGCCTGGTGAGCTGCAGTCCATGGGGCTGCAAAGAGTCAGACATGACAGAGCAACTAAACAACAACGAATTCCCAGTTATTTTCAAAGAAAATATGTACAGTAACATCATACGGTGAATTGGCACTGATAATTAAGTGGGCCTGAACGTTTCTGCAGACTGATAAAAGAAAACAGTGCTCCCATTAAAAAAAATTATTATTATTAAAAGGATGGCATCACAATTAATAAAACAGGTTATTTTTATACAAAGGAACATTTTACACAAAAACATTTTAAATTTTCAAACAAAACAGGGAAATGGAAAATTTTCAAAAACTGGCATTCTTACAGTGATGATACTCTAATAATGAAAATGCTTCATTTTGAAAAACAGGAAGAGATCAAATTTTAGTATTCAACATCTGTGTATAATATCTTATGGAATGATATGACTAGGATAATCTTGAACTTTTCGCTCATCATGTTATAACCTACTGCAGACCTGTTAGATTGTATTAGGTATACATTCATTCACTCCACAAATATATTTTAGTGCCAACAATGTGTCAGGTAATGAAGGACTGAAAAATAAATGGAAGGGCCCTGACCACAAGAAGAATACATTCCGTAAGAAAAAGATGCCTCATCCAAGTATACACAAAATGTCAGATAATTAGAAATACTCTGAACAAAATAAAAGAAGATGTGGTAAGTGGTATTGAGAAGCCAAAGAAGATGGATTCATTTTGCCTTCAAACTCTGTTTTCCACACTGTCCATGTTCTCAGTTTAATTTCCAATAATCAACTGTAGATTCTATCCTCTGTTCCAAAGTCCAAGATAACTGCCTACAAAATGAAGACCTTAGGCAGAATAGAACACAATGTTTCCCATCCCCTGGCCACAATTTACATCTGCAATCTATGTCCATATGAACATACTACACACTCAAAGGGTCTCTCTGTTGTATGACACCCATGTTCATTCTTTAAGCTTTAAAGTATTAAATCCTTTGCTTAAAATGTCCTATCTTCTTTCAAAAAGCTTGCTCCAAAATGACCCCCCTTCAGAAGCCACTTCA